CGCAAACGCCTCAAGCTGAAGGGGTTCATTGCAGGCACCTGAAGTGCCTTTTTCTCCTTGGAAAAGAGCAGTGTTGGAAATGCCCCCAGCAATTTTTCAGCCATGGGGATCAGTTCCAAGTCCACCTCACTCCACTCCCAGCTGGGCTCAGTCAGCGGCGAGCAAACCTGGGGGCTACATCGCTCCCCATGCACGCTCCTCCAGCAGCCCGTCAGCCACACCAGCACCCGATGGGAAAGAATGAGAGGAAGAGACAGCACAGTATGCAGCAGAAACAGAAAAAGACAGAAAATCTCTGCTGCTCCTGCCTTTCCTGAATATCAGGTTTGGGAAAAAGTTCTCCTCCCTCTCTAGAGTTTCAGCGTAAGTTTTACATTTTTAAGTGACAGTTAAGTAAAAGCAGATCTGTCCTATGAATATGACTGGGCTCCAGACAACGAACTGCCTGCTATCTATTTACACTGTGAAATATTCATTAAATATCAACCACCACCAATCAACTGTTAAGGGACCCGTCTTGATAAATGCTAGACAACCGATGAAACCAAAAGAACTTCACAGTCTCCCTGCCTTGCTGAATGGGGCCATCAGTCATTTTTAAGTGGTCGTTTGTTACATTGTTTTATCCAAGATATTTATAATCATAATGAATTGAGACAAAACATCAAACTACAGCCTCTTTGCATGAGAGTAATCTAAACTGAAAAGCGCATGACAGAAAGGATAGATTGATGGCCAGTGCAAAATAACTCCCTTGAGATTAACATATTTTATCCTGTTGATGTTTCTAGTAATAATTATACTCTAAGAATCCACTGAATGATGTTAGATGTGAAAGACTACTTAAGAGCAGTCATTTTCTCTCTAGGAAAACTGCATTTGTTTGTAATAGATAGGGAGGGGACAGCTGATGACAAAAAAAACAAACACCGCTACTAATATTCTGACTCTGCAAATAAAAACATAAAACTTCCTTGAAACACCCTCAAACACATTAAAAAAAAATAATCATTTCTATCATGACTAGACTTTAAAATAATGAAAAAAGTAAAAATTGAAAGTCCAATGAGTCCAAACTCCATCCAAAACCAGGGTAGCTCCAAAGTTAGATCAGACGGCTCCAGGGGCTTGCCCAGTCTGCACTGGAGCATGGGGTTGTTCCTCCCCAGGTACAGGACTTTCCCCTCTGCTGGACTCGATGAGGTCCCTGCCAGCCCATTTCTCCAGCCTGCCGAGGTCACCCTCGATGGCAGCCCTGCCATCACTGCATCAGCCGGGTACCACTGCGCAGCACTGCACACGTAGCCAGCAGCTCAGAGGACCTGCACGCTCCTACGCCCTGCTCTGCACAGGAGTCAGGGGAGGTAAGGAAAGGGTACATCAGCGGTTGGGAGACTCCTGAGATGGGATGAGATCTGGAGAGCTCAGGAAACACCCCCTCATATTGAGTCCCTCCCTATAAATAGCCAAGCCAAGGTTTGCTCTTGTGGGTTTTTTTTGTTTGGTTTGGTTGTTTTGGGGTGTTTTGGTTTTTTTTTAAGAGAGGACATACAGGTTAAATTTGTGAGACAGCAGTACTTCTTCAGCTTATTACATAGACCTCTTTAGAAAATAAACAGTCATCTCCTAACACCACTGAATTCAATACAACTCTGTGTTGTTTATCTTTTTTTTGAGCACTAAATAACTTAGAACATCATTAAGCCTGATCAAATGAACTGCCCAGTAGCATTTCTGCAGGCTGTCTGTGAAACCACAGTGCGAGTGGGAGACTGTACCCAAGACTGCTTGTTAAGTACGATGCAGACCTGCCTTTTCAATCTCAGCAATATCTTCTCCCCTTTAATTTTGCTCTCTGACCCTCTTTCAGTCCTGCCCACTTTGTGTTTTAAAGTCTTGATCTTTATTTTGCCCAGGACTTCTTGAGCAATAGTTCCTCCCTGTCAGTTACCCATTTCCTTACCCACTCCTATACTGGTCTCCCATCTCCATACATCCACATTCGATCACTGTAGACTGAAAAACATAAACCTTAAATGTCAGATTCAACAGAGAACTGAACTTCTGGATTTAGTCACCATTATTATGGAAAATGTAGAACCATCGTAAACTGCGTATGTTTAATATACACGTATGCCAACAGGCTTATTTTGCATATTTCTCATTTTTCCGGGAAAGATTAATCTGACCTTATTTTACGAGACAGAAGAATTTATGTCCATATTTCCTCCGTTAATTGCATATATACTTAGATGTCAGTTATTTATATAAAACCACATTTACATATATTATGATATGGTCCGAGGCAGACTAACCAAGACCAAAAATATACCAATATAACGTATAGATGATGCAACTCAAGTTATTTATGCCCCCAATGATACACCAACATACTCATGTTAGCCATGGAAGGCTTTCAAAACTTGGTTAGCAAAGCAGCAATAAAGTGAAAGGCTGAGGCAGGGTGTTGGGTGAAATCCAATCTCCTTTCTCTTGGAGTCAGAACTTTATCAACTGATCTTAACAGTGACCACAGAGGAGCCCTCTCCACCTCTATTGCTTAAGTTTTCTGGAATAAGTCTTCCCAGAAAAGGAATTTTTAGCCTCGGACTTTGAATTCCTCCACATAGCCACATTTTTCTCTCATTCGGCGATATGATTTAATCATGGTACTTTCCTAATATAAAAGATTAACAGCTGGATTCAGAGCCCTACGCTTGCAAAGACTGCCAAACAGAAAACATGTAATGAAACAATCTCCTTCCTTATCTGCACATATTTTGTGCAGCTTCCCTACGATTACTGCAGGATGTCATCAGAAGGGCATGAGAGTGGAACTACGGCTTAATAAGAAAGAGGTCACTCTGTTCTCCTGTCCTTCCTTCTGCCATAACTCTGAGGTGAACCAGAAAGGCAAAAGCAGAGAGAGGAACAGAGATACAGAGCGAGCAGTGCTGCCTCTCTCATGCAACTACAGTCCTTCCCACAAAACTTGGGAAAAGGCCACATGAGTCCGAGTCTTCTGCATTTGCCTGATCTGGAAACCCTCCTTCCTCCGTGCAGACTCTGATTACGACAGCCCCTCTCAAGGCTCTGACAAATCCTTAAGGTTTTCTGCCCCGGTGTCACATCCCAAGCCAAATACCTAAGATGGTCCTCTAGTCTGGCCCAGTTTCTCCTCAATTCAATGCAAAACTTTACCACACTGTGGTAGTACTGCTCTGTGCTGTGTTCTGGATAGTGTGAGGAGTCCACTGTAACATAATGATATCCAGAGACAGCTTGTGGATAATTAGGTTGGTCTTTGCACCTTCTCCCACTGTCTACCAGTAAAGAGCCTCACTGAGTTTGTACCTACAGGATTTTATCGCTGCAGTTCTGGAAGATGCAGGCAAGGTTTGGATGCTATCAGTTTTCACTCTGCTATTCATAGTCAGGAGGTCTGAGCAGGGAAGTGTTTGCTCCCCCCATGATGCGAGCCCATCCCAGCTACGGACAACAGCCGCCAACATGTCAGCAATCAAACCAAAGAGAAATTCCTTAAGACTTTGTGCACTGGTTTTAGCAGGCGACAACTGCTGGTTCATATCTGGGCATACGGGTCTCTGATCCCATATAGCAATTGTGTACATTCCTGTAGAGCTACTAAAACCACTCGGTGTCTCTATTAGGGTTTAAATTTGGCTCCTGGAGGCTGGAGATGTTTTCTGGGACCTGCAGTATATAAAGCAGATGTTCTATGGATGCTTCTGAACTGAACGCTGTTTCTCTAGCTGATTTCAGGAAACTGGATTCAAGACACAGATGCTTCCCTCAAGTCTTATGCTGCTTGTGAATCCGGAGGTAGCTAGAATCACCACATCCACTACCTGTTGTAAACACTAAACAAGGCTAATACGAGAAGGAATCAAAGTAAACTCACCTGTATCTAAATCAGCTGCTCGTAAACTGTAAAACTTCTGAACTATTAAGATACTGATACAACAAAATTATCACGGAGACAAATAAGAATCTTTACCCTAGTAAACTACTTTGCTCATATGACCAGAACTATAGAGTTAAGTTTCTGGTATTCAGCTGACACTGTGAGTTTGGAAAACCTCGGGTTTTTTTGATTGTTCCTACCCCTGACTGGGATTCAGGGGCTGAAGAAGGCTCTCTAGGAAAGAGTTTTTCAACCATAACATACCCCTCCTTGACCAGCAGAGTTTCCAGAGTGCCTTGTTCTGAGCTGCTGCGTGGCGTCCCACTGGACCACACACTGCATCCCTCATTACAATTCATTTGTGCCAGTGCAAACACACAGGCACAGTCAGCTTTGTTTAAGCATCCTTGGCAGGAACTGGTTAATGTAGCATCCCAGCCAAAGCCTATAGTTCACAGTTACCAACAAGTTAGGTTGAGAGATGTCAAGGCCTACTGAATTTTATCATCTTATAAAGCATAACTATAAAGTCAGTAAAGCACACAGGTCCACTAACAGCTTCTTCCTTTTTAACTAGAGCAGAAAATGCATGTTGTGAGACAACCAACTCTCTATGGTAAGAAAACAAAGCACCAAGATACTTTCAAAGATATGGTATCCTATTTGACTTCTTAAACCAGCATTTGTCAATGTGGCATCTGAGTGCCACTCAATGTATTAAGCTTCATAGCCAGTAGCTGTAATGGAAAACGCCGCCTCTCTCATTCTCCCTTCATCCTTGCCCGTAAGAATAATGAGCACCGCTATGCATCAGCCCATTCAAACACCTGGCTTCAAAGGAATTACCTATTTCCTTAACGTACTACTAGGTTTTCCTTCGAACATTCAGCTTTGGTCAGAAACTGTTGCGTTAAACTACAGCTGTGTTAAGCTATAGTATTCCCCTGCTGAAAGACAATATGGTATATGAAGCTCAGACCGGTTATTTCATCTATTATGTTGTGTAACACAATATAAATTTTTGATGATAGCAGTAATATGTATAATGCATAGGGCTGTAAAAATGTCAACCAACTTTTATGGCTTTCCTCTTCATATGAATATTCAGTCATCCATTCGTCGCTAGATCCACTTCAATCCTGAAAAAGAAAAGATGAAATAATTTAATTGATGTATTTTCTTAGAGTTCATTAATTTCTCAAATATTATTGTATATGTAAATGAAAAACCTAACCACGGACGTCTGTTCCATAGTAAAACAGAGGTCAGAAGAACAGTAAGTTTATAAGCATTTTAAAAAAATCTGGATGAATACAACAAAAAGTATATTGGAGAAAGCCTTACGTTTCCTCTTAACTAATGATTTTAGTCAGTGGTCTCAGCATCTTTAATTTCTGAGCTGCTACTTAAGCATACTAAACCCCAGCTGTTTTAATTAGTCTTTGGGGCCCATTATATATCAGCACCCTGTATTTGTACAGGTAAACTTTCCAGCAGTTATCAAGTGTGAATATTCTTTACTGGTATTTCAAAGTGTGTTTCCCAGAAATACTATGTGAGATCTGGACAATAACACATTAAAAACCAAAATACATTTATTAGTGAACTCAGGCAATACTCCAGCCATGGGAAATAACTGTGCAACACTGTTACAAAATTTGAATACATATTTCTTGAAAGGTTTCCTATGGATACATGATTATTTTAGTTATGTTTCCATGTGAATCTGTAAAAGAAAAATTTATACAGAGATTTAAATACTATATTATACTTTTGGGAGGATCCTTCAGGTTTATGAAAATATACAAATTCAGTAATCTAACTTTTTTAAAGCCTGGGAGGGGGGGAAGCTTCAGATGTCCAAAATTCAAATAGCAGACAGTATGTCGTAAACCTCTTGCCAGAATATGTGCATATATCTGGAAACAAATGCTACATACATATGTCTCTTTTAATAATGGAAATGGTGTGAAGTCAAGAATCTAAATCTGCTGTCAGAGTTATTATAAACAATCTGCTGTTATTTTTATATCATTCAAAATAAGGTCATCCTTCAAATAGCAGTGGAGCATCACCTGCCCGCTTTTAAACCACAACCCAGTATTTCTTTACTGCTGCATACACAACAACACGGCTAACAGGTTTCCAAACACTACGCAACTTTTACACTGACAGCAAGACAAGAAGCTCCATTAAACCTATAAAATTAGTAAATATTCATACACTGTGCTACTCTTATACTGACTAAACACCACAAACTTACTTTTTTTTATTAACCTTAATTCTATTTCTAAGAAAATGTTACGTTCCAAATATTCATATGAATCATAAAAGGCTGCAAAATCATCACAAACACAGACCTAACTAAATGTAACTGAATACTGTAGGCTTAGAGAATGCCAACTATTGTAGACCACTTGCCCCATCTCCCATGCATCCTACAGACTCTCTTTCCTTTTTGTTTTTTAATCTCCCTTGACTTTATTTGGACTGTATGAAGAAGATTTTTTTTTCTTTTTTTTTTTTTTAATTGCACGCTTAAGAACGACCTTTGAGTTTCTAGCAGCTCCTTCCCCATGCTAATGTCCAAAACCAGGACAAGTGGACCGGGTTTTTGATATCCTGGACTTACATGATGTGGTTATCTGACCTGAGCAGGAAATGACTTTGTCACCAAGTTCTTTAAAATTAAATGTAACGTATTCAAAAAGCTTCATGGGGTCTCTGTCAGAGGAAGAGAGTTTGACCTGTAATTGTT